GTGGTTGTAGCCCTCTGCCCCGCCTCTCTGCCTTAGCCAGTGCCTCCTGTGTATAGCCAGCAAATCCCCAGAGGACTCAGTCCAATGGAAAGAGAATTCTGCTGTTTGCTGAAACGTTCACATCTTCTTCCCCAGCTGGGACGGTGATGTTTGAATATGGCATGCGCCTGGGCAGGGAGGTGCGGACGCTCCGTGGGCTTCAGAAACAAGGGAACTGCTATCTTGCTGCCATTAACTGTCTACGGCTCATCCGCCCAGAATACGCATGGATAGTGCAGCCGGCTTCCGGAGCAGTGGTATGAAATCTTGAACCTTCGGCTTATTTTAAAACTGTCTGTCAAAGTGTTGGCTATGGGCCTGTTTTTTTAGTAGCAACCCCTCTCGTTGTGAAGGTGCTTCCACTGTAAGGCCGTTCCGATGTCACCAATGGGGTTCACCTACCATTCCTGCTACCATAGAGTATGTGCTGTCGGCCATAGGTAGGGCCCTACCAATTTCATGGCCGTGAAAAACTTGTCACGAACCATGAAATAAGCCTTTTCCCATGAAATCCGATATCCCCCGTTCTGCTGGGAGTGCCCCAGCTGGGGGCCCCTAGCTGCAAGTCCCGGCTGGGCTGAGGCGGGACAGGACTTGTCCTTCCCCTGCATGGCTCCTCGGGTGGGGTGGGGGGCAGGCCCATCCCGGGTACCTTTTTGTTGGGACCTCAAGGTTACAACACCATGAAATTTCAGATGTAAACATCTGAAAACGTGAAATTGATGAATTAAAAAACCCTCTGGCCATGAAATTGATCAAAATGAACCTGAATTTGGTAGGGCCTTAGCCATAGGCATTACAGGCTGGTGGCTGCCAATCTCAAATGCCTACTATTGCTGCTGTCCCCAAACAGGACTGCCCCTGTGTATTGGGAGACTGGAGGAAGGAGCCAGCACCAGCCATTGGGCCAGGACTCCGACTGAGGGGGGGGGAATCTAGCCTGCTTCTCTCAACCCCCTTTTGATCATACTCAGCAGGGATTAAGCTGGCAACTTTTGTGTTTCATAACATCACTACGGTGTGGTCTATGCTAGCAAAATTGATTGCTATATAGCTATGTCCGTGTGGGGGGTGAGAGAATTGCAAGCTGACCAACATAGCTCTGCTGCCAAAGCCCCAGTGTGGAGACAGTTCTGCAGGCAAGAGAGTCCTCACCCCAGTACTGATGATTCCATTTGGGGAACTGGGCTAAGCTGTACTGGCAGAAGAGCTCTTTGGCTGGTATAGTTCTAACAAACGGCTATGCCAGCAAACCCGTTTGTCTAGACAAGGCCCATGTTGCGCAAGGGGCAAGGAGAACTACTTCCAGATGGTTAAAATGTTCAGATACTTGCTAACCACGTTCAGCTGAAAACTTGAAAACTCTCTGAACTTTCCCAGTTTTCTCCATCTTGACTGACTGTTCATGGCTGAGACTTAGACACAACCCAGTTGCTTTTTTTGGTCAGCTGTCTGGGAAGCAAAAAGTACAAAATAGATTTATGCATTCTCCTCCCCCCCCCCCTGCCTTCGCGCCTTATAACACATGCAGATGGATGGATTTTCTGTGTACTTGAGGGTGGGGAAAAAAGAGAAATTCATTTCTGGCTGAGACCAAAGAGGCAGCATTGTAGCCCCAAAGGAGAACTTTTTGAGCATGTTTAGTGTGTAAAATCTGGTTTAGAACGGAAGCCATCGTGTAACCTGCAAATGCTGTAATTGTCAGAGCCCTGTAGCCACGGTAACTGCCTTGAAGTTCACCTCCCAGTCCCATTCAGGGTGCACTGTGCTTGTTTTAGCTGCATACAGATAGAATCATAGAATACCAGGGTTGGAAGGGACCTCAGGAGGTCATCTAGTCCAACCCCCTGCTCAAAGCAGGACCTAATCCCCAGGCAGATTTTTGCCCCAGTTCCCTAAATGGCCCCGTCAAGGATTGAACTCGCAACGCTGGGTTTAGCAGGCCAATGCTCAAACCACTAAGCTATCCCTCCCCCCCTGTAGCCTTTGGAATTGCTGTATAGCCCTACAGCTCTCCCAGTGTGACAGCGTCTGAGATGGAGCACTAGATGGGGAATGGGAAATCCAACTTCAACTAAATGTTTTTCTTCCTGGCAGTATGAACGCCCAGGAGCATCCCCAAAGAGAAACCATGATGGGGAGTGTACCGCTGTCCCAAGTAAGTCACTGGTGCCTCCCGTAATTCTTGTATTCCAGGACTCTCTGTTGTTGACTCAAAAGTTGTGCTACTTGCTAGGAACCTGGGAGAGGGCTCCCCTCCTTCCACAGCCTCTGTACCACTTGAAGTAGCATTCGAAAAATGTGCTGCCTTTCTCTACCGCCCCCCCCCCCCCCATGGCCTTGATATTCGCATTCTTAAAATTCCAGCAGACTGATTTGTAAAAAATACAAAAACATCAGAGTTATGACAACAATGGCCTTTCCTCTTGTATTACACTGTCTGCATAACAAACATTTTCCTAGCAAGTTCAGGGAAGGGCGTATTTCATCACAACAAACTTAACTCTGACCCCTGCTTTGTCTTGCATGTGTATTTATCTTCATTTCGGTATCTAAATATTTTCTGAAGGCATGTGATTTAGTGGGAAATGGGCACCACAAAAGGTCTGCCTGGGGCACCGTGTCTAGTTTCTTTAACATTTCAAAAGACAGGAATAATAATAAAAATTACCTGTTCTGTTAACCAGGGTCTGGCATTTGTAATGTTCTTAACTGGATCTGTCTAAATGCTGCATAGGAGTTAAAAACTAGCAAGGAGAAGTCAGTCAAGGTGAATTCTGTTCTTCAATTGTTTGCTGTAATATGACTCCATATGTTTATAAGAGGGGGACACAGGCATGCTAGCCCCTCTGCATAATGTCCAGAGGAGCCATTTTGAAGACCTATAATCTAAAAGTCCTTCACTTATTTAAAACATTGAGAGCAATTTCTAGTTGTTGCCGGCTAAAATGAGGGTGTGAGTGTTCTGGAGTCACAGGGCGAGTCCAGATCTGCTTTATCATGTGCCCCCAGATACATCCTTGATTAAGGGAGAGCACAGCACATGGCATCTCCAGAAGATCAGTTTTTCTGCAGCCTTCATAAAGCCAGGATGGGCCATTCCCCAAGGCTTCTTCACCCTTAGCTTCACTGACTGAGCACGTGTGTCACTTGCATGTTCATTGAGTGCTGCGGTGTGCGCTAGGTGCCATCCAACCATAGAAGACGTGGCCCCTGCCCTGAATATCCTGCAATGTACTTCAGCCAGGATGTGAGCACTGGGGGAGGTAGGGCAAAGGCTACAGGCAAAGGTCAGGTGGCTACTCAAGTACCTAATATGCGCATCTTGATGGGACAGAGGGTTCCATTAGTCACCACGGCTGAGGGTGTTTTAAACTTGGTTTGTTTTATACGTAATTGCAGATGCTGCAGCTTCTTTCCTAGGGTGCTCTGAGGTTGGAGCTCCCTTTCTGGCCTCGTCTGCCATGCCGCCACACTCTCCTGCAAGTCCTGCCTTAAAAAATGGGTTGTACCAAGTCCCTGAAGGCTAGTAATCCTCTTGTGGAAGTGTTAACTTAGGGTAGGCCTGCACTGCGGTCCTGAGGAGTGATTGCAGCGCATATCAATATACCTGAGATAGTTTTGATTTAACTAGATAATCGAGTCTCGTGCTAGGTCAGAGCTGTCTACGCGCGCTGTAATCACCCCACCAGATTACAGTGTAGACATATATCCTAAATGCTCTCTTCAGTCACTGGTAGGTTGCATCTCAATCTTCCTCTATCTCTTGACTGTTTAGACCATAAGCTCTGTAAAGCAGGGCCTTTCCCATCCCCGTTGTCTGTAAAGCATCTGGCCCGCACTGGGCTTCTCTAAATAAACATCTGTTCTGTACAGCAGCACGCCAGATAGAAATCTTGGAGCTGGAGGATTTGGAGAAGGAGTGCATGTTGGCTCACATCCGACTAACTCTTGCGCAGCATGACCCATCGACAGCGGCTGTTGCAGGTAGGGGTGGGATATTGGCCCACAGGGCTCGGAACAGCAGCTCCGCGCTGCTTTTAGAGAGTCGGGGCGTAGTTCGTACGCACGGAGGGGTGATGTGAAACTGTTTTGCACCTGCAGCCACGTGGTCTTGTGATCTCGTCAGATCTCACAAGCGAACCAGGGATGGACCTGGCTGTACTGGAATGGGAAACCTACAAGGGGTGTTTGTAAATGGGAGAGGGTTCAGAGAAGAGTCAGGAGAATGGTTACAGGATTAGAAAATTTGCTTTATAGTGAGAGACTCAAAGGGTGTGTTTACACCTCAATTAAAAACCCACTGCTGACTTGGACTCGCAGGGCTCAGGCTTAAGGGGCTGTTTACTTGTGGTGTTTGTTTGGGCTCAGGCTGAAGCTGGAATTCTGGGACCCTCCCGCCTTGCAGAGTGCCAAAGCCTGGGCTGCAGCTAGGGTTGCCAAGCCTCCAGGATTGTCCTGGAGTCTCCAGGAATTAAAGATTAATCTTTAATTAAAGATGTCATCTGAGGAAACCTCCAGGAATATGTCCAATCAAAGTTGGCAACCCTAGGTGCAGCCCAGACCCCAACATATACACCACAATTAAACAGCCCCATGGCCTGAACCCCACAAGCCTGAGTCAGCCTGCATGGGCCAGCCGTGGGTGTCTAATTGCAGTATAGATTTACCCAAAGAGCTCAATCTAGTTAGCTTAACAAAGCGAAGGTTAGGGGGTGACTTGATCACAGTCTCTAAGTATCTGCACTGGGAACAGATAATCATGAGCTCTTCAATCGAGCAGAGAAATGTCTAACACAATCCAAAGACTGGAAGTTAGACAAATGCAAACTGGAAATAAGACTTACGTTTTTAACAATGAGAGTAATTAACCATTGAAACAAATTACCAAGGATCACGGTGGAGTCTCCATCACTGACCATTTTTAAGTCAAGACTGGATGTTTTTCTAAAAGCTCTGCTCTAGGGATTGTTTGGGGGCAGTTCTCTGACTTGTGTTAAGAGGTCAGACTAGATGATCACAGTGGTCCCTTCTAGGCTGCTACAAGAAGTATGAATCGTGAGCATCTCTTCAGTCTATTCTTTAACCAGTGCACCAGCTAAATGTCTGGGGCATTGCTGCTGTTAGTCACTTTCTTTGCTGTTGTCATTCAGAAGTCTAGGCAAATTGCAGGTAGGGGGAGGTTCAATCTCTCAAGAGTAGGTGGCTCTTCTCCTAGATAAATTCCAGCTCAAGTAATTACCTTCTGCCTCCTTAATGTCTCCTGCAGTTTTAATTGGATACAGTATTTTTCACTGCCTGTCCAGAACCAATACACTTGTTTCTTTGTGCTGTTGAACACTGCTGTGTTCCACCTCAGAGGCAGGCAGGATCACTCGTTAGCCTGTAATATTGATGGCTGTCAGCATAGTACAAACACCACCTAAGAGTAAGAATATCCCCATCGATCTTCTTCCCTGCTACCAAGAGGCAAGCAGGGTTTTGGTTTACAGCCGAATGACGCCTATGGGTAAACTTGCTGAACGCTTTTTGGTTATAATCTGTTTTGATCAGTTATAATTTTGCCAAACTTTAACCATTTAGGCTGAGGCTTTCTTTCTATGCTTGCACTCTGCCT